TTTTGGAGAGGTTTTTGCTATAGGGCATGTGCGCTCGCCAGAAAGACAGAGAGAGACAGAGAGATAGGAAGCAAGAAATCACCGCCCTAGGGGGATGGCCACACCATAATCCCTTCTCCTCCTTTCTCCTCTTGTGATCTTGGACACACAAGCACATGTTCCTGGCGTGAGTCTAAGCCACTGGGTCTGGGACTCAAACCGCAGTTGACTATGTGGGAGTCCAGCGACATAGGCATTATGCCAACTGCTGGTTCCTCTTTCTTTCTTATTTTCTCTTTCTTTCTCCTCTCCCTCCCTCCCTTTTCTTCCTTCCTTCCTTCCTTCTCTCTCTCTCTCTCTCTCTTTCTTCCTATTTGCCAGAGGGCGCTGGCCAGCGAAGGACAGAGAGGAGAGAGCACCTCCGCATGAAGTATGGTCCTGCTGCAGCCCCTTCTCGATTTCTTCACCCGGTTGGGATTTTGGGCACACATGCACATGTGCTTGACACGGTTTTCAAGCTACTGGGGCCAGGACTCAAACTTCAGTCAGCCATGTGGGTCTGGCTCCTTGACCACCAGGCCGCGACGTCCCTCCCAGCGCGCATTTCCTTCGTTTCTTTGTCTCTGCATTAGATGAGGCTGGCCTCCCAGTAGTGGCAGGGCCTGAGCTAGGCTGACACCTGAGGACGCCCCTGAGGGTGTGGTGTGGTGGGCCCTGGCAGGGCTGCCAGCCTGCTGCAGTCCACCTATTGCCCAGCGCAGTGTGCTGGGCAGCTTCAGCACGGACAGCTTCCCTGTGCCACCCCTCAGGAATAAGCCGTGCTCAGTCACACAGAGGGGCCGGCATGTGCCGCTGAGAGGACCACTCGGCACCGCCTAAGACACAGCGTGCACAGGCATGTGAGCGGCAAGCCCTCAGATGCCACTCGACGAGCACGGGGAGTCCAGCGCCCCAGGGAGCCGGCTGGCTGAGCCCTGCTTTGTTTCAGCCCGACGCTGTGCACTTCTGGGCCCGGGCTCTCTCCTGCCCTCCAGCCTGCTCTGCTTTAGGGCCGGCTCTGACACCAGAAGGCCACGTTCAGGACTCCCTCGGCCACCTTGCTCAGGCCAGGGCCCTCTGCCCGCAAGCTCCAGTGCCACACAGGGCCAAGAGACTGCTGGATGCTCTACCCAGGCAGCTCTCAGTAGGTTCTGCCACGTGCCAAGTAACTCCAGTTCCTTCCATTAGCTGCCCCCCACAGCCCTGGGTGTACCCTGTCCTCCGGTCACCCCCTCCCACAGCCCTGGGTGTACCCTGACCTCCCATCACCCCCTCCCACAGCCCTGGGTGTACTCTTACCTCCCGTCACCCCCCCACCGCCCTGGGTGTCCCACGA